TACTCTATCACACCGTTGTCTCATTTTATCTACATTTTGTTTTATCTAATGCAAACTTAAATTGCTTATAACTTAATAAATAAGTCTCAATCTATATTTTCGTATACCAACTTTTGCATTTATTTTGATCTCTGGATCTTTCTAGAGATCTTTAAAAATATTCCACGAATATATTAACATTCGTATTACACGTGTATATTTTATTATGAATATGCATTTACATATACAAATTTTACAATTTTTTCTACTAGAAATTAGACGTTACAATTTTTCTATTTTATCCGTCGAACTTGGACATGGAGAGATTCCGTTGTAATTAGCGGGTTTTACATTGATTCGCTATATTCCGACAAAAGATGATATTTATTGTAATTTTACTGTTTTGTCAGTTTGCGAAACGATCGATGAGTTCACTAGCGAATTGGAATCCGAATAATTTCGAAATTACACCACGTGCTTAATGAGCGGGATTTTTTTATTCTCATATGGTAAAGTAGGAACGGAAACAATTCAAAAAAATAAATTATTCTTTCTTTTCAGAAACAAATTATTTTTGAATTAGAAAAATAATTGTACATTACAATGATTTACAATAATTTATTCTTTATAAAGATTTAAATAAAGTTAAATAGAAAAAAATTTGAAAAATAGAAATAATAAAAGAATTATAGAAATTTAAATAAAGAATTATAAAAAATTTTTTTTATAATTTCTAAAAATTTTATTTTATAAGATTTAATAAATTTTATATGAATTATTTTATAATTTTATAATTAATATTATCAATGAGTATTCTTAAATACACATATTAATATCATATTTATGGAAATTTATTTATATTTTTGCAAAATTCTTAACTCTTTATAATATTATATGATTTTCGAGTTATTATACTCATACATACATATATATTCGTTTTCATTTTTTAAATCTTATTTGATTTTTTCATTAAAATTTAAAATAATTTTCTATTTTCATATTTTCTTAGAAATTATATTTCTCATTAGAAATATGTTTATTATAACAATTTCTAATTTTCATTTCAAAATATATTTATTCAGGAAAAATTATTTTAAGACTATCATTTTTTTCTTAAACACAAATTGAATTATAAAAAGTTAAAACATTTATTAAAGAATTATTATTAAAGAATTTATAAACTGAAACTACTTTTTTTAAATTCTTATAATTCAATGATCTACATTTTTAACAAATATTATCATAAAGCTTTAAGATAAAATTTTTTTAAAATTTATATTATTGAATATAATTTAATTAATAATAATTTATCCAGTTAATAATTCAAAATTAATAAATTCTTAATAAATGTTTTTAATTATCTATTAAGAATTTTGAAAAAATATAAATTATGAACAAATATATTAATTATTTATTAATAATTGAAAATGAAAATAACAATAATAAAAGTTTCAATAAAAATGTAAATTTAATTTCTTATTTAATAAAATTTGTTTAATCAATCAATTATTTATTAAAATCAATTACTATGTCTAAATTTTTCAAAATATTTTTCGAACGAAGTTACAAGTTTGCCCAAATGGCTAACTACTTATTCGCAGTGTATCAAAAACTTTATGAAAATTCGTCAAGTTTTTTTTGAGAAGTTATAAACTTGGAGTTTCAAAGCAACTTGAGCAAACTCATCGATCGTATTAATAATTCTTCCCGGCCAAATGTTCTTAGTAATTAATATACGAACAAAAATAAAAAAATAGGTCGACTGATTCCAACTTTGAAACATCGATATCGAATGTAACTTCTTTTTAAAACAAAAATATAAATAAATAAATTTGATATATTTTCAAAAGTGATGAAAATTACAATTGAAGCAAAGTAACATAAGAACACATCTTAATACATCTTTTAAGATTTCTATAAATCTATAATAATAAATGAATCAATTTCAGTATTAATTTCCTTTTCATTTTGAACAAATTATTAACATAAATTATTAGAATTCTATTCTTAAAATAATAAACGAAATTAACTACAAAAATATAAGATATATATAAGAATATAAAATATTTAAAATTAAAATATATATTGAAATCAGTCGAATATCAATAACGAATATTATTGTACATAATGACCAAAAAGTGAATCATTGTAAAAAAAAGAAATATCTTCAAAATTGGAAAAAATATGTAGATGCATGCAACATACAACATCATAACGTTTTCTTTTTTCCTCATTCATCTCTTTCTATCTTTCTATGATCCATTTCCCTCGAAGTCGTTCGTCCCTAACAATAATAATTTTCGTCAAGTATCACAGTCGATTAGTCTCGATTAATTTCAGAGAATTTTTACGGCCAGAATCGAATTCTATTCAACGTATAGTAATATCATACATTGTAGACGTATTCTTCGACTGGGTCGCAAAGTGTCCTGGATTCCTCGGCTTCCGGTCCCTAATAGCGCAATCTCCAGAATATCGAACTGTACTATACGTAACTTATTTGTAACCATTATGCTAGTATTGATAGCTACAGAATGAAATACGTATCGATACTTCAGAGAAAATATATATAATAATATAAATGAATATATAAATGAATATATATAGAATACATGCTAAAATAAATAGAGATGTCATATGAACAATATATCTTATTATTCTAATTTTTTAGTTTTTTCGAGTTTTGAATGATTAATGGAATTAATTGCATTTTAATGCAAAATCAAATTCGTATGAATATAATTAATGAAGTGGAACTTAAACGGATATTTTCTTTATTCTTCAAATATTAAAATGCATCGTGTATAATTTTACATATTCAAATTTTTCATAAATAAAGAAATATCCGTAGTTTAATGATTAAAGTAAATGTATTAATGTTGTTATATTGTTTTAGTAAATTCAGTAAGGTGAATACAATGAAGTTTTAATGCATTAGATCTTTATTTCTGAAATATTTAAAATTTATTGTTTTTAAATATTATGTTCTGCGAGAAAGAATATAAAATTTGAGATTTAAAATTTTACTTATATTTTTTATGAGTATATTAGTATTTTTTACTTATTTTAAATTCTCTGAAATATCGATGTATTATTGAGTCATCTTGTGTAATAGAGAAGGATCTTCGAGAAATATCGATGTATTCTTCTATTATTAGTGAACAGTAGTTGTATTTTTTTTATTTCAGTTATTTGTATTTCTTGAAACCCTCTGTAACAATATTTGATTGCGAAATTGCATGGTATATTTATAAACTTTATTTTCATGAAAATTTGTATAATTATCTCCCAAATTATTTTTTTTTTCAGAAAGTATATATCAATGAAATATTAATATATATTATAATTAATATATATATATATATATATATATGTATATTTGTATTTTTTAATTATTTTATCAGTTTATTTTAATTTATTATTATATTTATTTAATTATATTATAAATAATTATTTATAAAAAGATATTTAGAAAGTGAAATGAATTTAAATTTCATTAATTAGTAATATTCATTAAAAATATAAATTTACATATTTTAGTATATTTATTGATATTGATATTTAAGTATATCTATTGGATAATTATAAAATTATTTTTTTCTTTTTTCTCCTATACATATATGTAAAAATTCCTATCTAAAGCATTTATATTTAATATATATATTAATTCTATTAAAATATATTTTAATCATTAAAAAATTTTGAAATAAATAATTTATTTAATTTTTTCTCTAATCTTTAATCTATTTCTATAATTGAAATATATAATAAGAATATTTTTAAGATAATTATGGAAAAACTATAGATTTATTCGAAAATTAAATTTGATTTAACAATCAAATCAAATAGATTTGATTGTTAAATTTGATTAAAAAATCAAATCTATTTATTGAATAATTATTATTTTCTATAATAAATCATAATCTGTCTCCAGTTACAGAGGGTTAATTTAATTTCTTATTTATTTTGAAAAAATCCTCTTTCATTAGATTGATTATTATTAACATTCGATTTATTTGACTATTAAAAATTTTTTTCTTCTTCTTTGTCTCTCTTTTTAAACCAATTTCTTTCTTCGTAACAATTTAAAAAAAATATATTTTCGTTATTATAAAATTCAATTTATTCATTAATTTAAAATATATTTTATTTTTATTAAACTATATACATATGATAATAAATAATTAAGTCCAATAAGAGCCACGAATAATTATGCTGGACAATTTTTCAAATTACACATTCAATTGGCGGGGAATTCAAACGAGATCATGTGTTTAAATTTCAATATTAATTCGTTTAGTTTCATCTTGTCTGCATATGTATCATCGTGCATTTCTCTTATTTTTCTTCAAATAATTTTATCGTATTTTTAGTTTTTCTTTGCGTGTGGTTGTCATGTGAATATATCACTATGCGTGGTCTTGAATGAATATAATGTTTTTCAGAACGATGATGAAAAGAAAATATAATCATAAATATCACAAAAGACAAGGAATTTTTTTTTTTTTTTGGATCAAGTCTCAGGAAGTCGGGACATCCTATTGGTCGAAGATCGAAGAGACCATGGAAACAGACTTTTAAAAATTGACTGTAAAATCTAAGACGATTGATGGATCATTGACAATGGATCAATATAGAGAATTCTTTATTTTTCTCTCTTTCTCTATCTTTCTTTCTTTCTTTTTTTTTTTTTTTACAATTTTATCCAAAGAATGATATACCTTGTCATTTTACTTTTTTTTTTTTTTATTTCTATCATTATTTTTTCTTCTTTTTTTAGTAATTATACAGATTTAGATTTATATTATTATTATTATTTTTTTTTTTATTGTTTAATCGACGATCCTCGAATGTGAGACACGCGAGGAAAGCAGGCAGATTGATATCTTCCTTTTTTAGATATTATTTTATCAGTGTCTTCGTATATACCCCTTTGATCAAAAGCACTTCTTTAACTAATTAACCTCAACCGACAATACGTGTTTTTGTTGAGTGTTGGATTTTGTTCATCGTTGTTACAGATGGGCAAACTTGGTAGCAATCCATTGGCTGGGCTCGCGGCTCTTGGCCTCGGAGGCCTTGCCACTCCTGCCAACACTGGTGGACTAAACCCTGCAGGTATGTGAAATATTTAGTGTAATATAGTGTTGCTCTTACAACGTTGAATTATTAAGTAATCTAGAAGATTTTCTTGTTTCTTCATGGTTAAAAGAAAAATAGTGTAAGAAATATGGAAAAAAAATTATTTATTAAAATCATTATTCTTACTTTTCTTAACAAGAAAAGAAATTATAAATATTGATTTTATAAAAATTCTTCAAAAATTTTTTATTTTTGCTTCTGAAATGATTGTTCCAATTTAAAAACTGTTACTAATTCAATTTGACTATTTTAAATGTTGTTTTAAATTTAAAAAAATTTTTTAAAAAATAGAAATTAAACAAATTTTCATGAATCTTATAATTTTGTATGATTCATTATAATTGAACAAGTTAAATATATGTAAAATATGTTAAAAATATGTAAAATATATAATCCAATATACAATTACTAACACTATCTGTAGAAGTGTTGTAGTTATATAAATGATCACTTATTTTTATTTTATACATATATATGTTTCTTTTATAAAAATAAGAATATAACTTCTTTGGTTAATTAATAATTTATAGTAAATTTAAGTGGAAATTTAAAAAATTTGAGTTAATTTTTTATAAGAATAATAAAATTTTAAAAATTGAATATTTTTTCTCATAAATGTACTTTATAAATAAAAGAAATAATTAAGATAAGTAACTTTTTATCAATGAATGTGAAAAAGATTAAATAAAAATAATTTCATAATTAGTTATATTATATATTTATCTAAAAATTTAATTTTATATAATATGTTTTAAAGTAAGAAATGCATAGTCCAATCTTTTTTCTATTTTAATTTTGTTATTCTTATCTGTTTCAATATTTAAAAATATTTTCATTTTTAATAGTTTCTGAATTCCTGAATTTTGTTGTAATTCTGAATTTTTATAGTTTCATTATCATTCTAGTTTCATTTCCTACAATATATATATAATTTTAGTCTTTGTTAAAATATGTTTCTTTATTAATGAAGAAAATATAATATAAGAATATAATATAAGAAATATTATATTTATTTATAATATTATATTTATATTTATAATATTTATTTATAAGAAATATTATAAGATTGTTTCACAAAAATTAAAAATTTAAGTTATATTAAAATATTCTTATACAATATCATACATTCCCTAGTTTGTTATTAAATATATCATATACAACATATACATTTATCAATCCATTATATTTCTTTTACCACAAATCTACAAAATTTAATATAAAATTTAAATAAAAATGAAAATATTATTCAAAATTATTCTAAAGAGATAAAACAAAAGAATAACAACAGAATAATACAAAGTTTTATATTGTTCATAAAATTTTCATATTGTTCAAATATATAAAATATTTATCATATTTTTACAGCATTAGCAGCACTTGCTGGTAGTCAACTACGTACCAGCAATACGAATAGGCAACAACCAGCGGCGAACAATCAGACGCACGAGATGACTGTGCCAAACGAACTGATCGGTTGTATCATCGGCAAAGGTGGCACCAAGATCGCTGAGATTCGTCAAATCTCCGGTGCCATGATCAGAATCAGCAACTGTGAGGAAAGGGAGGGTGGCGCCACGGATCGTACAATTACCATTACTGGAAATCCGGACGCTGTGTCATTGGCACAATATCTCATCAGTATGAGGTGAGTACCATGACTCTAGAGCTCTAGATGTCACTTCGATTTGCCCACCATATTGAAAGGAAAACAATGATTCATAAGGAACGTTGGATTATTTTAGTGAATTCATTATGAATGGAATTTATATTGATATAATTTTGATTGAATTTAAGATTGGTTTATATTGTTCTTTCAGAAATATCTCTTAACAGATGACATTGTTAAACAAATATTGAATACATATGAATATTTATATATAATATATTTTTATATATACATATTTATATTATATATATAGATAATTACATCATATTCAGTTATTAAATCATTAATAATAAATTTTATTAAATTTTTACATATATTCAATAAATAATTAAATATTTTACCTATAATACAATAACTACAAACAGTATTTATAAATTAATAAATTTAATCTAAATATATTATATTTATTATATTTATTATTTAATACTACTTTTATAACTAAATAAATTTAATATAAAAATAAAATGAGAAATAGCTACTGTATAAATAAATTTTCTCACATTGTTTGTAAAAAAATTCCAATGTAAGACATGTTGTCCTGAAAATTAAGATAAGAATAAAGATCCAATGAAAAAAGATCCAAAATACAATATTCTGTATTTTTTTGTTTGTTAAATATAATAATATTTTTATTTATTATAATATTATTAACAATAATATTATGCTAAATAAATTTATTAAAAATACATGAATAAATGCTTTATTTGAACATAAACTGATAATAAAAACAATAAATTTTTCACTTGAACAGATATAATCATATACATAGTATACTTATATCTGAACAAGTATAGACCAATCTTTCATCGATCATCTAACGTTTCTTATATCTGATTTGTTTTTTACTCTCTCCGTTTAAAGAAGAAAAAATTGTTTGAGAATTCTTCCATTATTCCTGTCGGTCATGTCAAACTCGTCCCGGCTACGTTTTGCGATATATCGCGATATATCACTACCAACGCCCCCCCCCCCCCCCCCCCCCAAAAAAAAACTCTTTTAACTTTCTAGTTTCTTTCCTTCTCTGGATCTGACGTTTAATATTTGTCAGATCAAATCTCGACTTATATGTATTGTGTCGCCGGTGTAGAATTTTTGAACGCAAACCCTCTGGGCCCTAACTTTGAAGAAAAGAGACTCTTCAACACCTCATCACCAAAAACAAAAACCCTTTTGTCTCACAACGTTTTTTGTGTTACACTCGTTCCTCCTATAATTGACCTTTCTTAGCCTTGGTGTCTTAAAGGTGATCAAGTGAGACTAAGGGGAATAGTCGAATTGCCGTCATCGCGACACCTCCCATTATGTTTGTTACTGTTACTCTGTTGCCTCTGGCGGCGACGCGCTGGTTTTAACGAACCAACAATAATTTTAAATAAACATTTTTGAAATATTTTTTTTCCATTTATCATATTACTTATATCACATACTTATATCACATTTTAATCTCTCTTTTATATAATCTCTATTTATATTATTAGCAGAATAAATTATATAATTTAAGTGTAATAAATATAGGATCTAATGATCGTTCTTCCGGTACGTCGACGCCAGAAAAGTATTATGAAAGAGGTGGTGGTGCAGCAATGAAAGTTTTTCTCTATAAGAGACATAGAGTTGCATCTGTGTATGAAAGAAGAGTATCCTCGATGTCTCGAGGTTTATCATCAATGCAACGTGTGATGTGTACCGCCACCTCGGTCTCTCTAGCGATACAGGTGAGATATTCTCGTAGTGAAGTAAGGTTAGACAGCCAGTGAAGAAAACCTCAGCGTACCAAGGGATCGACGTCAACGTGGAGTCGCCGGAGGACATCTTCGTCTACCACGATGGAAGAGGATATCTTAATCCTTTGTTTCCAGGTCCTGCTTTCCAGGTCCAGTACCCTGAGTATCCTGCAGACACAACTCCGCTCAACATTTGTTTCCTATTTGTCGCTGGCTGTCCTTTCAAGCAAAAAAAAAATTAAGGATTTTCTTTTTTTTCTTTTTTTTTTTTTTTTTTTTTTTAAGAAGAGTATATATACAATCACGATAACAAATACGACACGTAGTCGAACGTATTCCAGTAATATATTATTTCTGTTAATTAGACAATTTTTTCCTGAAGAGTCCTGCGAAAAAGAAAACTATGCATCACTACAGTTCCTTTTTTTTTTTTTTTAATTTTTTAAAAATTTTTTATTTGATCCTATTGATTGTTCGGTTCTCGATAATCCAGAGTTTTTTTTCGGTCGGTAAAAAGCTTTTGGCGAAGGTTTGTTTTTCTTTTTTATGAATAAGTTTATTTGATACTTAATTCTAATTTTTTTATAGAAATATACCCATTGGGTATTTTTAATACTGAATAAATTGATAAATAACTGATTAAATTGAAAAGCTTAAAATTTACATGAAATATTATTAAATTATTATTTAAAAATATTTTTTAAATTATATTTTAAACTTAAAAATATTAATTAAATTTGATTTTCCTTGAATTTTTAATTCAATCCTGTCGCATCTAATAACTTATAGTTAATTCATTTTTATAAACCATTTCTATAATTATATATTTTTTATAAATTATTTTGCATATTAATCACTATACAAAACATTATTACAATTATTACAAATAAGATCTTACCATATGATCATCAAAATACATATTACTCAAGTTAATTCTCCTATTGTGTAAAAAATTCTTTCAATTGCGTTATAATTATGAATTTTTAAAAAGATATTAATTTCAATAAAATTTAATATAAGAACTATATAAAAATCCAAATAAAATAGGAGAGTTAAAAATGAAAAAGTTAATCTAAATGAATCCTAATTAAATCTTTAATCAAATCAAAATACATAATTCAATATTTCATACAATATTGCTTTCGCCAAAAGTATCATGCAATCGCATCTTTTATGTCTTAATTTTTTATGTTTCTTCACTGATCATTACGTTTTATTAAAAAAAAAGTTTACGGATGCAGATACCTCCTAAAATATTTATAAATATTTATATAACTTCGTATTATGGGACTAATAAATCTCTTTGTATTTTTTTATGGCAATGTCTCGAATTTCAAGAAATAAAAAAAAATACAGATACTGACGTAGTTATCGACGAAATTCGAGACAAGTGAAATATCATTCCGATAGCGCGTGTATTCAAACGAGAACCCCTCTGGAAACGAGCAACTGTCCCCTTATTTGCTGCTCCTCGAAATAGCACGAGTACCACAAGTGTCCAATATATTATATATTTAACCATCGTTAACGCGCGGATCGTAAAACCTATTCTTCACACTCTATTTCTTCCCCTTTTTACGAATTATAATCCATATTATATTTTATTCCAGATTGTCACTCATATATATTTTTATACTTATTGCATTTAAAATAGCAACCGAAAATATATCTCATCATATATTCCCGATTATTACTTCTTGTATACCTTAGCCTCAATACCACTTGGTCGTCATGATTATTAAGTATCGTGTTATCATCCTTCTAAGCACAATCCCGTGGCCAGATCTGCATTCTGCCGCGTTCAATTCCTTTTACTGACGTATCTGAAAGTGACGTACGAGCCAATTATTGCGAAGCGATTTGCTGCATTAACATCACGAATGGTGAACTATCGGTAATGTCGTTCCCGATAATATCGTCGCAGAGTGCAAGTGCTGAGCCCCATTTAGTTCGATTTCCGCTTTTCAGTGATTCGCAGAGCCATGCTACGTTTCATTAACAATGTATCTGTAATACGATACCACTTTGAAAAAAATCGTAAAATATCTGTCAAAAATTTGGAATCACTTTCCTAATTCTATTTATATTCAATTTTCTAATAATTAAATAATTCCCTTTGACATATCTTTTTATGATCTTTTTATTTTTTAATTGAAAAAGATCTTTGATCAAGCTTATTAATATACTTTTTTTTCGGTTTATCCATAGTGATTCCGAAATTTTGACTAATATAATTCAAACATGTTCATTCATCTAGTCATTTCAATAATTAGCATTTTTTGTGTCATATGCAACGGACTATGGCTCTGTGCTACACCGGAAAAAGGGACGTTATATATTTGTAAATCATCATTTCTTCGTTTTTAAAAATTAAAAAAAAATATTTATAATTAATTTGCAAGATTATTATATTCATAATTCAAACGAATGCATTTGAACGTCTCTTTCGATGGTAAGTACTCCTTGCAGCGCGTCCTCCGCATCGAGATGTTGTTTTTAGAGTTGTCCTCAAGTTTTCATCTTGAGATCAACGAAATGTGACTGCTCTGTATTGTTCGATCAAAGACGATACAGACAGATACTGATGATTCGTCGGTCCATGATGTCTGGAGGATGCGAAAACGCATTTCGATGCTGCAAAAACTGTCCCCCACTCCCCACGAACAACCACGTAGCCGGTGTACGTGAGAATATCACGCTCCATAGAACACACCTGTGGCATAACTTTCTGAAACCTATTGAAAACCTTGCGATTCAATTTCTTTCTTTTTTTTCTATTTTTTTCTTTTTTTTTCCATATCTATTTTTCCTTTTTTTTTAACCTATGTATCACATTAGCAATCATACACCACGACTCTTTTAATCAATATAACAATTCTAGCGATCCGTCTTTTCTTTTTCGTCTTTTACTATATCTCATTCACCAATCAATTAGCGTTTCATTTTCTTACCCGTTTCATATATCGCTCTTTTTTTTCTTTTTCTTTTATCTTCTCTCTTCGTTTAAACACTCTAAAACAATGAGAAAAGAAAAAGAAAGAAACATGTATCACGTTATACATTTACATAAACTACATACATACTGTTTTTATACGAGAGAAACGTTCCCACCCTCACCTTTTTACATTTTGTGTCTTTTCCCCAGTGTTGAACTGCAGAAAGCTAACCTAGAGGCCCAAAATACCCAAACCCCTGGCAGCGGTACCACTCCCGGGGCATCCGGGGCCAGTGCTTCTCCCTCTACCACCACTACCACTGCCTCTCCCTTGGCCAGCGCCATTCCCTTGGCTCAGCTGCTAAGCAAGCCAGGCGCCCTCAACGCCCTCTCTAGCCTCACCGCCCTCGGCGGACTCACGGAATTGCTAGGTGGCGCTGCTGGCGCGGCTGCATCCGCGCTACCTGTCCAGACAACCGGCGTGCACCGGTCGCACAAGTTCACGCCGAGGCTACGTAGCCCAGGCGCACCTGGGCCCACTGACAGCGGAAAATTCAAATCCGAGCGCACCAAGTACAACCCGTACTGAGCAAGTGATGGACAACAGGTGGAGAGACGCGAGATCAGGGAGATCATTACACGTACACGCATTACTCATCACTACTATCGCCACAATTATTACCAATACCACTATAATCACAACCACAACCAAGATCATGATATGTACACGGAACACGAGATTTACATCGGAGAAAAGTGCGTACGGACGCCAGGGTAGCGCGAGTCCGGATATTCAAGACTTGGCTAAGGATCGGACCAACATATGCTAGTTTCTCACAGGATTATACAGCGCCGCCATAATGCTGATATAATGCGTACATATTCGTAGGGGTAAGACGCGCGACGATCGGTTCGATTACAGATCAATCAATTCCTTTTTTTTTTATCTCTTTTTTTTCTAAATATTTGTCATGATCATTCATTCTTTGATCCGTCATTTTTTTTTTCTGACTCTTTCTAATTATTTTTCGAAGAGAAATTTGAAAATGACACGAGGTGAGATCCAATGCTAAGTCTTCGGACCTTCACACTAAGTGCGACACGCCCTCCGAGTTTGATGAATCTTTTATCTTCTCTTATCGCGTACCTTATTGTTAAGGAACTGATTTTAATTTTTTTTTTCTTTTTTTGTTTCTTATATTTTTGCTGTTTTCATAAATATGATATATTTAGTTTTAGAGAACTGTAATATCGTACGATATGGACAATTGAAAATAATGATGTTAGTATCCCGTGTATTTGCCAGATGGCGACTCGGAGGACGCGACCGCTTGTGCACCGTCGCAAGACAGCCTTTTTTATATGTATATGTATACATATATATATAATATAATTACGATGAATTATTAATTGATTAATGTTTGAAGCAAAAAAAGGCTCTTCTTATTAGATTTAGATAATTCCGATGTAATTTTTTCTTGTAGTTGTATAGTCGACCACTTTTGAATTGAGAGAAAGGAAGAGAGAGCGAGATAGTATGAATGTGACGAGCAGACGATTTTTAGCAATGAAACGAAAGAAAATGATTAAAAAAAAAAAAATTTAGAAAGGCGTGTACGAGATTAATTATATATAATTATGATTTCTTTTTTTTTTTCGATTATATCTTTATCTTTACATAAGGAATGAACGTAAAAAATGCAGAAAGAAAGAGAGTATGTGCCTGTGTGGACGTGAATGACGATTGGAATGAAAGAAGATAAAATGATTAAGCGAAACGAAATAGAATGTTCAGATATACATCGTGTCCCGTAATCATGTAACCGTGCTTTAAAATCAACGCCGGACATTTTCTCCGGAAATAGAATATGGTCTATCACGACCGAATGAAAAAGAATGGTAAAAGAAAAAAGGAAGAAAGAAGAAAATAATCACAGAGAGCTTATCTGTACCTCTGCTTATATGAGGTAGCGCACTTCATCGAATATTATCGGTGAGCATTAAACATTGTATTCGCTAGATGAGAGAGAAAGAAAAAAAATAGAACACATACAAAGTAATCAATCGATTTACGATAGTGGTCGTTTTATTGTAATAATAATGATGGTAATTATATACAAATAAAGCAAAACGTAATCATATTTCACGAGATCACGCTCGATTTATATATGTATAGATATAAATACGTATATATATATATATATATATATATATACATATTAATATGGAAATAGAGAAGAAAGTAACGATTCCCCATGCGAGTTCAGAATTAATTAGCATTAACTAACATTTTAGATACGTATACGTACAGGTATACATTTACTTATTTACACTTACACACTATATACACACGTATACAGGTACATACAAGGATGAAAATAAAAAATAAAAGATCGTGTTTTATCGAAGAAATATCGAGTTATTCGCTGTAAGAATCGATCGTCTTTTCTTCTCGATCAGAATCTCAGGAGATAGAATTAAAAAACTGAGAAGTGATAAACGAAGAATGAATGTTATGTGTTCGAGATGGGAATATAAATCGATTTAATCGATGTAATGGCTGAAACCGGAGAATCAAGGAAGATAAAGAAGAAAAGACACGGCGAACGTACATCGATTTTTAATGACGATCGACTGCATAGGAGCTCCCAGATCAATATTGTGTGCTCAATTTCTAGTTTGTAGCGAGAGAAAGAGGAAGAGAGAGAGAAGATATAAATGCATAGATCGAACAGGTGTAGATTTATAATTGTTGAGTGATAGATCGCTCATATATCAATTTTTATCGCGATTTTTGTGATCACGAATCATCATCTAAATCTATGATTTATTTTTTACGATTTTTTTTTCCTTTTTTTCTTTTTTTGGAATTTTAAAAATTTTTATAAAATAACAAGTAAAATTTTCTTGCTTGTTTAAACAAATTTAAAAAAAAAATTAATAATAGTAAATTCTTTAAATTCTTTTTAATTGATTTTTTTTCATTTCGATATATTTGTTTATTTAATTAAAATTTTGAAAATTAATTAATAATTAATTTATGTATAATATCAGATGACTCGTGAACACAATTGCGTAATTTGTAGAATAAATAGTACTTCATATTGCGTTTTACATTTTATATATCCCATATGTAGCTCGCCTCATATATTTGGTTCTCTCTTGGAGACAATAATGATTTTCTCACGTTGGCGGCGATTTTCATAAAAAATCTATCAAACAAAGATTCCATAAGCGAAAAAAAAAGAAAAAAAGAGAAAGAGAGAGAGAGAGAGAGCGTGTGAGAAGAAGAATGAAAGGGATACAATGTGAACGAGAGAAAACGATGAGATTAAAGCGATCTTTTTCTTTTTCTTTCTCATCGTCAAGGCGAGAAGGGAGGTTGATGAGATAAATATCAAGATACAAAGTGTATACACACACAGAATTTTGTAGGTAATGTTAGTAACTTCAACTGTATATTGGTCTCTTATAAACGATGTCGCAGAGCTTGTGTGCTTAACAAGACATTAGCTACTATCCTGTATCTCACCTTGTTAAATAAAGCTAGGCGTGTTTAATACAAAAAAAAAAAACAAAAAAACAAAAAAAAAAACAAAAAAAAAAACAAAAAAAATACCATTGTCAAAAATAAGTATACTTTGATGAAAATTGATCATATATGAAAAACAGTATCAGGTTATTTTAGTTTTCCTTTGAACGAGGTCTCGCAATGCACTATAACTTTAGATTAAACTTCGTTTTATTGCATCATTTTATTCTGAATTTATTTTTTTTCTAATAATATTCGATGGATAGAAATGAAATAGAATGAAAGAAATCAAAATCAATTTTGAGTCTTAAAATATATTGATTAGGATAATAAAAGGTTACGTAATATCCTAATCTAATTAGTATATTTTATTATTATTCATTGAATATTATATAGATAATAAATAAAAAAAAAAATTGAAAAAAATGATGTTTCAAAACAAAGTTTAATTTGTTATAATGATAATTATTAAAACCTATATTATTGAAATAACAATAATTATATTATTAAAAAGATTAAATTGTTTTAATTATTATTTCTGAAAGACAGAACGTGAACCAGATATAATTTTAACTAGAAATACGCTACTGTTCTGTTGAGTTCTGCTATTATTTATACATTTTTATCGATCCAGCTTCCTTGAAAGTAACTAATTCTGTAGTACTTTGCGCGACCACGTTTTTGATGTGCTGCATTTTTATTGTTGCTACCTCCTTTTAGAATTTCGTGGAACGAATGCCTTAAATTTGCGCTAAATCAAATGATATGAAAAGAGACTCTTTGTATTAATGAAGAAAAATTTCTTTTTAAGAGGAAATTAATAAAATGAAAATTAATTTGAGAAATAGATATCTGCTTTCATGAAAATTTTGTAATTTTTTATAATTTTGTTTTGATTAGATTGTTTGTCATAATGTTATTGTAATTTATTCATATTTTTTTATTGTACTTGTATTTTGAAATGTAAAATAATATTTTGAATGATTAGTGTTGCAGTTTTTGAAAGAATCTGAATCTAATTTTTAATTTTTTGATACTTGAATATTTATAATTCTTATTGCAAAAGTTGTAATAATTTATTCTTATTGCAAAAGTTGTATTTAATTTTGGATATTTTATATTATTAACGAAGAATAAGAGAATGTTATGTTCCTTGCAAAATTTAAAAAAGATATATGAATTTATTAGTAACAAAACAATAATAATACTAATATACTTTTATAAGAGATTGAATTAATTGTAATAAAAAAAATGATAAGGATACAAATTATATATTTTGGATAATAAAATGTAAAATAATTGAACTTAAAAATCAATAATGAAGAATTAAAATATTTAAAAAATTGATCATTAATATAAATCATTAATATAATAATTTTCTATTTCATTAAAATAAAATAAAGAAATAAAAATATTTTTTAATAAATAATTAATTTACAATTTTATTAAAAGTATTAATTATTTACAAAATATTTATATTAAATTATATATGTAAAAATATAAGTCGCATAATATAATTATTAAATTAGTCTCCTTTCATTAATCAATTCTATTTTTAAAAAAACTGCAACATTTCTTCATCACCAAAATCGACTTCAAAAATTTAAATGAAATTTTTCAATCATTATCCTATTAACAACAGAGTCTCAAATTCCCTTTCTCGTTTATTAATTTAACTGGGATCAATTATGGAGTGTAGCATTGCAATATAACATAACTTATACAAATTATCATAATAAGCGATGATCTTTTTTTCTTTATTTATATTTTTTTTATTGCATAATCGGAAAATAAAAGAAAAACGAGTCAATAAAAAAAGATAAAAAAAGACGTACCTATCGCTATTTTGTGTTTATGCAAATTTTATTCTTATCTTAAGTTGCAATTGATATTGATTACAATTATTTCGGCGTGTAGCATACATACAGATGAAAATTTTCTATGTATAGCAAACACGATACAAAAAGTGTACATATATACACATACATAATATTATGTATACATACGTGCATATATGTTTTACAAAAAAAAGTACGTACCAAGAGTGGAGAGATTCGTTCAGAAAGAGATGTAGAAAAAGAAAGGAGAGAGAGAGAGAAGATGTATACATCCAAACAACTTGACCCAGGCTCCTGCCCGTCTTTGGTAAGCACCATCCGCTCCTTTGTAGTCCTGTTAATCGACACACACTCTTCTTCCCAATTTTTACAAACTGTATTTTCGGCAACTAGCGATCATATTACTATTACACAATTTCTTTCTTTCTTAATTATTTCTTTTTCTTCATTTTCGTTAATTTTTTTGTTTTTCAATATTCTGGTTGTTTAATCCTTAAAAGCTATCATTAAAATAAATTATATAAAAAATAAAAATAAGATTTTCATGGAGTGAAATTTCATACCCATAATAGTCTTTAAGAGTTAATATTTCTATTAATATTTTTATTTTTATTATTTTGTTATTTTTATAATTTTCTATATTTTTTTTTCTTTTATTCTTTTCTTTTTTTTTTAATTTAATTTTTTGATCGTAAATCATACAATGATCGCAACCAATTAAGTTGCCAGTTAAAACCGATATTATTGATCAAATCATTTAAACCTTTTCAGGAATCATTCCACGTGAATGATTGCTGTCGACTCGATGCACCCTTTCGTTGCACAATTTCGTTCGAACATTTTTTTAAGAACTGCTTATTAAATTCGAAATCGCGTCAATAATATTGTTATAGAATGATTTTTTTTATTTTTTATATTTTTTTTAGATTTCAAATAGTTCCCCAAAAAATGTTCGATCAGATTATGCAGATTAAGAGGGTAACTTATACCTCGATAATCGAGGATGTTTTTCTGTAGATCCATCGCATGTTACCTGGAGAACGATGGGATCGGCTAAGTGCATTCGTTTCTCATTTTGGAAAAATAAAATTTTTTTCATTGATAAAAAATCTGTCCTTTGAATTTTTAATTTTGATATTTTAAATTTTTGGAAATTTTTATGGGAATTATTAATTAAAGAAAATTAAAACTTTTTAAATATTTTTTTTTTTTAGTTTAAATTTTTAGCATGAAATTTTTTTATTATTCAAATATCAGTATACGAATATTTAAATATTTACAATTATTAAAAAATGTTATTGGACAATTCTGAAATTCGTTGCTTAAAACTCATAAAAATTCTCAAATTTATTATAATAAAATATATTTTTTTATTACGAAATATATTAAATTTCTTATATGATTTCCAATTTTACTTTCTATATATATAAAATCAAAATTAATGGAAAATTTCAGTTTGAAAAAATGTAACATTTTTCATTATTTCTATATTTCTTTATATAGAAAATTAAAAACTATAATAATAATATAAATTAATTGTTTTTGTATTTATATAAAAATAATAATAACAGATTTTTTCAAATAAAATGAAACACAAAAAAAATATATAAACAGTTTCAAGAAAATGCAACAAAAATTCTTTTTTTTTCTATTTTATAAAATTTTTCTTATTAAATATTTATTATTATTCCTTATTATTTATCAAAATATACTGTTCTTTACTATTCCATATTTTTTTCATGAATTATATGTTTATATTTATATAAATATAATTGTATGAAATATCAATTTCAAGTAGAAAAATTTCCAATAAAGCAACAAAAAATATTCACTAGAAAATTTTTCAAAATATATTTAAAAAATTTTTAAATTAATCAATTAAATTAATAATGACAAAAAAACAAAATGAGCAGATGATAATACTTAACCGCTCTCATGCCCGGCTCGAAAGCTCGAGCAGAACCGGCGCACCGCGGCGAACCCACAGTTCATATCCGGTCTGACAGACATGGCCAATTCTGTTTCAGGATATCACAAGAAACGACGGGACTCTCGATACCCGCGTACCACTTCATCCCACCGGACCACATCGTTAAATCGCCGATCCACTAAAAGTGGTGAGACACATACGTATGTCGTTGTCGTCGTCGAAAGGACGCGGGGCGTCACGACGCACGCGAAGCTGTCAATGGCATCTGGGGCTGGGCCACGCACTGTGTTCAACCAGCTTGCTAATCGACACATATATACATACATACATACATATATATATATGTATACATACATACATACATACATACACTCACACAGATCACATATATACTCAAGTTTAATATACACGATATATAACTACATATACATGATAATTATACACTTGATCAAGAAGAAACATTAATATACTTACACATACGCATACACAACATACATGATAAAGAACAAAAGGTGAAGAACAAAAATAGAACACATCACGATGGAAAAGCAAAAATACACATGTCATGCATACACATAATATACAAATATACACGTACATCTGCAAATATACAAGTATATACATATACATGTTATAAAAATGGTTAAATCAGAGGGAAGTACGCGTGGATACACGTTACGAGTTTAAATACATATTGTACGCATACACACGTATACACACAGAGGTATACATACATACATACATACATACATACAAACATATACATATATATATATATATATATATATATACGTGAGAATATTGTGCGCGCTCTCGACAAGAGAATCACAGAGGTGTACATAAATGGCGAGAATGCAGAGAGAAAAGGGATTAAATCGAGCACGCACTTAATAATAATAATTATAAAAAGAAAAAAAATTAAGAAAAAAAATACATGCAGTAGTAGAGACGAAGATACGCATGTGCATACACGAATATATTATATATATATATATATATATATATATATATATATATATATACTCAAGTGTACAAAAATGTACAAAAGATATTTAAACAAACAAAAAAAAAAAGAAGAAACAAATAATGATGCACGCCGCAGCCCGTTATACATACACGGTGACTGCTGCCGATTGGTAAAGGGAACAAGCCAAAGATATGTTAGTTTTCATTTTTATATTTAAAAAAACGAGAGAAAAAAAACAAAATGAGAATATGAAAGAGGCGGAAGAAAAATACTACAATGGCCGAAAATTTTCGATCACCTCATATTTC